ACACAGTGTGGGGCATGTGGTGAGAGCTATGCAGCTGATGAGTTCTGGATCTGCTGCGACCTCTGTGAAAACTGGTTCCATGGAAAGTGTGTGAAGATCACACCAGCCAGGGCTGAGCACATCAAGCAGTATAAATGCCCATCTTGCAGCAACAAGAGGGCTCGTTCCTAAATTAATTGCGGCCTCTGTGTATTTGCTTTGCATATGATGAACAGCTTAACTGTTTGGTTAGAACAGATTTGTCGGTAAGACTAAGTAAGCCTCTTCTTTTCGTTGGCTTAGGAAGACATTTAGTTATCATTGTTACAAATGGCGATTGAGGAAACTCTGTGTTTAGGGTATGATCTTTCGTTGCTTTGTTTTATGCTTGTTTATTAGAGAGGAAAACATTCTTCGACCCAATCAAAGTTTCTGGTTAGCTTTGTCATTCCGTTTCTTCATCTTTAACACAAGAAACAGGGAAACTGAGACTATGAATGTTTTATCATATATCATTTCTGTTTCTTTGTGGCAAGGCGCTTCAAGAATTCGTAGGTTGTGATCATTGTTGTTGCGGACATCGACATTGAGACCCACCTTGGTCCTAACCCTCTGTAACAAGCCCCAAATCCTCCTTCCTTCATCAAGCTCTTCACTGACTGCATCACTGTCATTGCTTGTCTTCTCCCGTTCTCTTCTGCGTCTAAGACCTGCAACCGCGTCTTGATTGTGTCTATCGGCATAGTTATTAAAGCCGAGCAACCGCTTGCCATGGCTGCACTTACCCCTTGAACCATCATTGAGCCAGTAGTATCTTCCTTGCGGCCATATGAACGCTTGAATCGAGACCAAATCGACTTTTGAGCCAAAGAATAGGATGCCCACCAAACTGCGTTTGAAGGCGCGTAAGTCAAGATTGAGATCCCGAATCCTCTGTAGAACCCTCTTGGTCCATCTGTGTAAAGTATCTTTCTAAAAGCATCGAACCCATTTGTGTATCTGCAAGAATTCAAAGACAGATCGCCTTGAACCATAAGCCGTTGGCTCACGACATCAATCGGGGTCCAGACGATTTGAGCAGCCACGGCTGAGGTCAAACCGGCTGCACCATTGGCCACAGCCATAGCAGTTGTATCCGACAATCCTAACCTAATACTGGCTTGACTTACAATGCTCTTGGTGATCTCTAGAGCTGACATATAGAGAGCACGAGCCGGGATGGTTCCAAGCAAAGATGTCCCAAAGCCCTTGTAAAACCCTCTTAGACCCTCGTGTCTAGCGATTGCCAGAGAAATGTTGGTGCAGGAGACGCGGGTCGGGGAGACTTGTTGCCTTGTTTTGAGGACTACGATAGGGTAAAGAGCGGTGGATACACCGGAGAAGAGAGCGGCGCCGAGGAAAAAAAACCTCGATTTATCAAGCATTTGCCAATCTATATCCTTGGGGATATGTACTTGAGAAGATCTTTCCTTCTCTCTCATCAAAGCACCCAAGCTCATTTTCAGCTAGTCGTTCCTCAAACCAATCAAGATTCCAACTTCTCACCCAAACGAACTAGCGTGATCAGAAATAGGTTCACTTCACAAGTAAGTGAAGATCACTGAGAGATAAGAAATAAATGAATGGAGTGTGTGATTGAGTTGATCAAGAAAGAGAACTTATAAAGAGATGGGTTCTCTTGGATTAATCTTATAAGAAGAAAATATCTGTTGGCTTCAAATCTATGAACTCAATAGAGTAATTGTAT